ATCTTTTGGTTGTGCAATTTGACAAAACACTAGAAGACTTAACTTTAAGTCGTCCAGAGGACAAGGTAACCATGGACGACTTAACAACACTAGACGACTTAATTATAGGTCGTCTGAACGACTAAACAACACTAGAAGACTTAACTTTAGGTCGTCCAGAGGACAAGGTAACCATGGACGACTTAACAACACTAGACGAGTTAATTATAGGTCGTCTGAACGACTAAACAACACTAGAAGACTTAACTTTAGGTCGTCCAGAGGACAAGGTAACCATGGACGACTTAACAACACTAGACGACTTAATTATAGGTAGTCTGAACGACTAAACCACATTAGACGACTTAACTTTAGGTCGTCCAGAGGACAAGGTAACCATGGACGACTTAAAAACACTAGACGACTTAATTATAGGTCGTCTGAACGACTAAACAACACTAGACGACTTAACTTTAGGTCGTCTGGACGATTAATCAACACTAGACGACTTAATTATAGGTCGTCTGAACGACTAATCAACCGGATTCTTACATTGTGGTTTCGTATGGCCAGTTTCCTTGCAGTTTGAGCATCTATAAACCCTGTGTTGCTTCTGTGGTTTGCGTCCTTTCATCCTAGATAGCTCCAACCAAGATTGCCATCTTGATTTCTTCTGTCTCCCTGGACCATGCTTTACCTCTGGAGGGAAGCATGTGCGTTCTTCAACTTGTTGTCCAGCACAAGGAAATATATTCTCTGAGTATCCTCCAAACAAATTCTCCTTTGAGTACACTGGATGTACAAGTGTGGATATATGCAAACCAGGAAATGTACCAGCTATAGCATAAGAACAAGGTATTTTCTCCACTTGGTAGACACCACAATCACAATTTCCATGTTCCAAATCAACCACACAGTCCATTTTGCCACCTTTCACAAAGAATCGCCATCCATCAATTGGTTGGGCCCTCATCGTATCTGCTATCTCCTCTCGAACAGCAAGCAAGTATTCAACACCCCGACTATGTTGAGTTGGGAGACTCAAAGCATCTTCTCTCCTTTTCCAATACCACTTTCCTAGCTTCTCCC